TTCAAAATACAAAGAGAACAGCTCCTAAAACTTTTTGATTTTATTTTTCATTCTCTGATGGATTCTAGATTTGTGTTTTAAAAACTTTCGCTTAAATTTCTTGTTTCGCACAGGTCAAAAATAGTATCTACGCAACTAATTTCTGTACAAGTCTACATATAAACAGAGAAATGAGAAGAAACAAATAGTATGTATTCTTGAAAAACCCTGCACATCCATAGACTTATTGTATCTTTCTATAAAGACAGCAATTATCTTAATTCAATGTCCATGGATATGAATATGATGATGAAATAGCATACAACTTAAAAAATTATAATGCCTTCCTTTGTTGAAGATAAAATTTAAATAAATAAATTTATCTTCTTTATATAAAAACTAAAATTTTTAAATGAGATAGTTCCAAGTGTTCCAACATAGTATTAAAGTAAACAAATTGTATAAGTACTAATTATTAAAAGTGCTAGCACATGAGATCTTTGAGTCGAAAAATTAATTGGGGTATGTGTGTAGGAGGCTATTGTAGACAAAAGTTAAGATAATAAATTGTTTGCTCTCTAAATTTTAGAATTTTTATATGATAAAACTCAATACTCCTTGGCTTAATTTTACTACCAAAAAATTGAAAATAAAATTAAATTAGAGATTCTTTACAAGTTTGATAGTTGAAAAGCACCAAGAATTTTTTAATAGTTAAAGAAAATATATATTTTCGTAATGGTCTTCATTGCTGGACTCTCAACTACTCAGGCTACGCATGCACCAATTGAATTTTTAATGTTGGGTAGGACGATTAAGAGAGTTTCATTTCTTCTTTACTTAGTGTTTTTTTCTTCGTTTTTAGATATTTGCTTCATGCTGTTGACTTTCTCTTTATTCAGACAGAAGCCATAAATTATGTCATTCTCTTTACTCAAAGGTGTATCATTCTCCAAGGAACGAAGCATATATCATTTAATATGTACTTTGGTTCTCTAATCTTTAAGAAATTGTCATTACGATACATATGATAGCTTGAATATAAAGAATTTATGTGGAGCAGTGTTAATTATCTTTTTACTTTTCTTATTTTTTGTTAGTGGGGAGGAGTGTGTGTTGTGGGTGTTAAACCATTTCGTCTAAAACTAAAGCTTTTAAAAAGGAAAATATTTATGTAAAATACTATTTTCAACACCATCACTTATATGAAAGTCGGACTCATTTAAAAGACTATTTAATATCACGATTTTTGTCTACTTTAATACTATATTGAACAATATTTATTTAGGAAAATTTTAAACTTGATAAAATTTGTGTAATTTAATAGTATATAACATATAGTAATAAGTATACATTATTTATAGAGAGAGAGAGACAAAAAAATATAAAATTTTCATTTAAAAAAAATTTGTTTGGACGTATGAATCAACAACGACCCACTAATTGAACCATTGACCCACCGGTTGAACCAGTGACCCAATGACGCGATGAATTATTCGGGTTGATGATCAGGTCGAGTCTAATAACTATGCTTATATGGAAGTTGGACTCATTCAAAAGACTATTATTATCACGATCTTTGTCTACTTAATACTATATTGAACAATATCATCTGTAAATATTTTATTTTCGACATGAGTTGTTTTAGTAAGAGACAACCTCGTATGTTGTATTATAATGTTTAAGAAGTTGAAATTAATCATGCATCCATAGAAGGGTAAAAAAAAACATGGGTAATTTTATTTTATGGAATGAATAAACTTAATCACAATTCAATAAATAAATTTACTTTCATTTCAGTCAAATAATTCCATTTAGGTTTTTTAGTTTGCAAAATGGTAATAATAATAATAATAACAACAACAACAACAACGAGTGAATTTTTATTCACGAAATACAGTTCGAACCCCATTTTAAGGGGTATATAGGTTTTGTAATAATGATTTTTTGGATAATATACGGTTAAAATGTAGAAAAAAATTGGATTTACGTATAAATTATTTTATTGAGAAAATATGTTGTTAAAAATAAGTTTTAAAAAAATGAATTTTTATAAAATGGGGATAAACATGGATTAATCTCTAATGTTTCAGTACAATTTTTTTCAAACAAACATTTTTCAACCTAGACTATGTAGCAGTTGATTGTTTTTATCTTGTCAAATAATTATACATAAGACATTAACATAAGTTATAATATTATACTTCAATGCATTTTTAAAATTATTTTCAATTACCTAATTCTTTTCTTATAGTCTCTTCTGAAGACGGCAACTCCCAGTGCCATCCTACCAATTTCAAAAAGGAGAGAAGAAAAATTATAAATTCCAGTATTTTCCATTTTAATTCCTTCAAAAATAAGCCATACAAATTTGAATTCTCATTCATGCAAGAAAACTCAGTCCAAGGGGGATTTCTTGTATTCAACTTGCCGAAGTTTGGCGAAAAGCCATTTATAAAGCTTGCTGCCATTGTTATATACATCCTTCAACGCCTATACTTACAGGCCAAAAGTCAAACCCAGCTGCCAACCTATTTTTTCCTCCTTAAATTTCTGCAGACTCAACGCTTTAATCTAATAAATTCCTTCTCTACAACTCCACGCAGTAGCTGCATGTTCCAAGTTCTAATTAAGGTTGAGGTTTATGGCTTTTAGCTTTATTTGCTGAAGAAGAAAAGATACCACACGTCGGTCCTGATACTTCTGAAGATTTTGATGCACAATTCATAGTATGGTATTTATTAATATATCTTTTCTAGTTTCAAGCCTAAGAAAAGGATATTAGAAGTGGTAGTGTATATATTAAGTCTGGTTTTCGGTATCATTAATTTTAATTTATTCTTTGCTTATTAAGTTATTGGGATTCTGCAAAACTAAGTAGTAATGCATATTGCAATTTTGACTTTCAGTATTTTTTAATTTTTGAGAAATGGGTTTCTGGGCTTTGAGTTTCTTGTAAGGAAAACATCTGACTATGATATTTTCCCAGAAAGTCTTTTCCTTTTTGTTTTTGCTATATTTTATAGCTTTACATTTCAATGAAAATGAATTTTAATATGTTTTAACAAAGGAATGAAATATTTTTCCTTCTTTGCGTTATTTTTGAATTTATATCAACTTCTTTAATACTATATAATAATTAACTAGTTTTTATTTTCTTTTTCTCCGCTAATTATGTTCAAATATCCTCGATCATGCTTACCAAACGTGCTATGAATGTAATAAATGCACCGTAGATAATTTAGTGTTCAAGAAATGTAGGCCAAAAGCGCAGTGGTATCCCTTTTATCAGCGACAAAACGCTTTTTAATTTCTTACAAATGAGGATTTTGTGTGTGAACAAGTGTAGGTAACTCGTTTTCTACTGCTCATTTGTTTATTACCATAGTGAGGGGTGGGGTAGGGTGGGTTGGGTGGGAGTAACCCCATGTGAACTTGGATGCATTTCTCATGGGATTCTTCAACAATTTATTACTTTGGACATATACATTTCTTTATGTGGCTAATGTCTATATATACGAAGGTTTTGGCATACGATCCATTGCTCTTTCAACTGCATCAGAATTTAGCTTCTTCTTCCCATTTATCACTTAAATCTATATTTGCAATTTAACTTAAGATTTTTGAGAGGCTACACAAATATACCGCATAAAAAGTTGAGTTCGAGTCTTCATAACTTTGTACAAACATCCAAAAGTGTATAAACAGGTTGTGCAGGCATTGGTAAGTATATGTGTAGAATATGCATCTCTTGAATTTGATTTCGGCTTTTTTCGAGCTAATGTAACATTTTGCAGGTAGGTCCATTTGTCTGATGGCCTTATTCCGGAGTAGCAACATGAGAAGTGGAGACTATTTGGAAGGAGTGCTGAGTGATTATGTTGGGGGAAAGGCGAAATTGAGGGCACAAAAGAATGGATCAGCTCGACTTGTAACGGTTTTAACTTGCTTACAGTTTTCCTTTGCATGTTATGCTACATTGCTGTTGTATTTCATGAGTCCTTCGATAGACTTGGGAACAAAACCTGACTTTTCATGGGCGACGCGCATTGCGCATCAATGGAAACATTATATGATCACACCCCATATAGTGAGTCATTACCAAGAAGCCAATTCCCTTATTAGAGCTGAAGTCCAACCAATTAGTCCATCTCAAGTTTGTGAGCACGAAAAGATTGATTTTGTGCAAAAGAAGTCAAATGATGCAGTGATGATCAAATTGAAGAGGGATCTTTACAAAGAAGTGTTAGATTTCCAAAGCAAGACTGTTGGGACTGAGACACTAGCTGAGCTAATGGCAATGAAGTCTAAGTGGGATTTGCGTGGACAGAATATCCCAAAAATTACCGTTATTTTAAACCATTTTAAGCGCAAAACGTTATGCGCTCAACTAGATTCTTTGCTTCACCAGACCCTTCCGTTTCATCATGTTTGGGTACTTTCATTCGGGAGTCCAAGCGAGCAATCCTTGAAACGAATTGTAGATAGCTACAATAACTCAAAAATCAGTTTCATTAGTTCGAGTTATGATTTTAAGTACTATGGGAGATTCCAAATGGCATTACAGACAGAAGCCGACCTTGTGTATATCCTCGATGATGACATGATACCTGGCACGAAAATGTTACAAATTTTATCGCATGTAGCCGGGACAGAGAAGTACAAGAACTCTGTTCTGGGCAGTATCGGGAGGATTTTGCCTTTTCGACAGAAGGACTTTACTTTCCCGAGCTATAGAAAGTTTCGATCAAAGGAGGCAGGTCTTTATTTGCCTGATCCTGCTTATGACATCACAATTGACAGGGTTGTTCAGGTCGACTTTCTTTCTAGCTCTTGGTTTTTGTCTGCAGAGCTTGTCAAAACACTTTTCACTGAGACGCCATTCACTTTCATGACCGGAGAAGACCTGCACTTGAGGTATATAAATTTTCTATGCAAGATTTAGACGCCAAGTTTGAAGTCTTATCCATGAAATTTAATGATGAATTTTATAATCTAACTTGACCACATCTTCATCAAATATGACAGTTATTAACATAATTTATGCTTTTACCCTTTTTTGTAATGGTTTTTAAAAAAATCGAAATTCAGTTATCAGCTTCAGAAGTACAGAGATGCCGGTTCATTCGTGTTGCCTGTTGATCCAAAGGATAAAGAAACATGGGGTGATAGTGAGCACAGGCTTGCATATGTATCTGAAACCACAGTGATTTTCAAAGGAATTGTTCAAGTTAGAGATGACCAATGGTGGAAAGCCCTCTCAACCGGTTATGTTACACAGTGGGCAGCTATGTATCCTCAGAAGATTGATGCACTCTTCTATGCTCACTCCATTGAAGAAGTTAAAGCACTCACCCCACTTCTCAAAAAGTTCAGGTCCACTTTTGGCAAAAAGGCTTACATTGTCGTCTCGGGAGGCAATTTCTGCCCTTGTGAAGATGCTGCTGCAACTTTGAGTTGGCCTAAAGCAGTATGTAATGAAAGAAGATTCAAGATTTTTGATTTGGGAATTGGTGCCTTATCAGGGCATTCAAAGTCAGAGGTGCCTATTTTACAAGCAGTGTATGCTAGCATGAAAGGACTGATCAAAATTCACAACCCGAGCGTGGTGATAACTGTAGCTGATATAGATTCAAACGTTAAAAAAGCTTTGAAGATGGCATCGGAATCCAATGTAAATGGCTCAAAATTGGTTCTTTTACCAAAACCATCTGTGTCTAAAGTTCTCTGGATGGCTGATATAAGGTCCACAGCGTTGCCAAGTACGGAAATTTTTCCATTAAAATCTCATTTTGTTCCTCTACTTTTAGTTCTATATATCCATGTTTATGACCTGTGCTTCCATTTGATATATGCAGATTGGAACAGGATGCGAATTTCTGTAAATATAATCACTCAGAACCGTGCTCATTCTCTTACAAGGCTATTGAACTCTCTAAAAAATGCGTACTATGTTGGAGATGAGATTCCTATCTCCTTCAACATGGATAGCAAAGTCGATGAGGAGACTTTAAAGCTCGTGAATTCCTTCGATTGGCCTCATGGGCCTAAAATTCTTCGTAGAAGAATCATACAAGGAGGACTCATTCGAGCTGTCAGTGAAAGCTGGTACCCCACGACAGATGATGACTTTGGGCTCTTGCTCGAAGATGATATCGAGGTATCTCCTTACTACTACCTCTGGATCAAATATACTCTTTTGGCATACCACTATGATCCTCAGATTTCTCTGCCTCAACTCTCATCGATCTCCCTATACACCCCTCGTTTGGTAGAAGTCGTGAAAGAAAGGCCTAAATGGAATGCAACGGAGTTCTTCAAGCACATTCATCCAAACACGCCTTATCTTCATCAGTTACCTTGCAGTTGGGGTGCAGTATTCTTCCCCAAGCAATGGAGAGAATTCTACGTATACATGAACATGAGATTCACCAAAGATGCGAAGCAGAACCCTGTCCAAATCCCGAGATCAAGAACGAATGGTTGGCAAGCTTCTTGGAAAAAGTTTCTGATAGATATGATGTACCTCAGAGGCTATGTTAGCCTCTATCCAAACTTTCCAAATCAACAAAGTCTTTCGACCAATCATATGGAACCCGGGGCTCATATCAGTGCAGAAGACAACGTTGTGAAGCATGACAAGACAGATTTCGAGGTGCCCTTGTTGAAACAAGACTTCAAAACCTTATTGCCTAATGGAAAATTTCCTCCAGCTTCAAAATTGCCATCGCTTAACCTCTTCAATCAAGCTGTTTCTTTGAAAGGTTTGAAGGCCGCCGGTGCAAAGCTGAGGCAGGATGTGCTTGAATGCAATCCAACAGAAGTAGTGGCAGTCAATCACGAAACAGGTCTACCTTCACATTGTGCAAGTTTCTGATTGAACTTGCTACCATTCTTTTATTACAGTTACAGATTTTTTTTTCCTTCTTTTTTTTTTCATTGGAGCATTATAATTTATACATAATCTTGTTGGGGATGGTCTTAAATCTCAATTGTAACAAACAAAGAATGTGGGGTTTCAAACTCTAACAGACTGTGGTTCCCTGTGAAATGAAGGGGAATCATGCCAGTGGTATGATATTATTACGTACAATTTTTTATGTAAAGCAGGCTTGATGTAAGAAAGCTTTCGACTTCATCAACCAGTCCATCGAATTGCTCATGCTTGACAAAAGATAATTACAGAGATTTTTCAAAGTAAAATGATAAGAATTATGGTTCCCCCACAATGCCCTTTGCACCTGGGAGGATCTCTAAAAGGAGTCCATCATTCGTGGTGATTGTATGGAAGATGAAGAGGATGAAAAGTGCAAATTTCGTAGTTGGAAGGTTCGTGTCCAGTGTATAGTTAAGGACGTTCATAGGCAGCTCTACATCCCGAGATTTTGTAGATATAAACATAGGAGGATCATCAAATACATAAAAACTACAAATAATTAGGCATGTGTAATTTACATATC